TAGGGACCACCTTTGGTGGGAACATAACAGCGTTCTGTGTACTTTCAGTATTTAGTCATGCCGGCCATATGACCATAGAGTCGTCTTCAGATAGTGCTGGCTCTTCCGTGACCCGACAAAAGCGCGAACGTCATAAGCGCGCCGACAAAACCACGGCGCTAAAACCGCGATGTCAAAAGCGCGCCGACAACAGCGCGCCGACAACAGCACGCCGACAGAAGCGCGATTTAAGTTAAGGTAAGGTTTAGGTTTAGGGTTAGGTTTAGGGTTAGGGTTAGGTTTAGGGTTAGGTTTAGGGTTAGGTTTAGGATTACGTTACAGCGCGCTTCTGTCGGCGCGCTTTAGGGCTCATTCGTCGCTCATTCGTCGCACAGTTTTGTTGGCGCGGTTTTGTCACCGCGGTTTAGTCAGGCGCGCTTTTGTTGTTCGCGCATTTGTGGTGGAACCCGCTCTTCAGCTTTGAAACGGAGATGAGCAACACCCCCTAGAGTCGGGAACGACTAGCACGTATGTGCAAGGGGGATTTTACCTTTAAGGAACGGAACAATCTTTGAACAGTATAAAGGGAAAAGAAACATCATGGATGGAACCCTCTTTTCAGATGCTCATTCCTCTCCCAGAATAAATAACGGTGCTCTACAAAGAATACTGAACATCGGGATTAACCACATCTTACGTTTTCAGGTAAAAAGGACCACTTACCTGGTCAATGACCCAAGGGCTGTAGAAATGTCCGTTCTCAGAAGGCTGCCACCACCGGAGGCGCGTAGAGGGAGAACGAGCTTTTAAAGGGATTTCCAAAGCGATGTAACGTCCGATATTGCTCGAATTGCTGAAGAGAAATTCCTGCAGTAGATTCCACCGGAGTCCGCCATTAAGGGAGTATTGTAACAACACTGGCTGACTCCTGGGATCAGGTACGGCTTTGCCACATCCCAGCCTCATGAAGAATTGAACAAATCTACAGTAAGCACGAAAGAGCCCAAAATCAGAAGAAATATATTATTACTTTTTGTTGGAGAAGACACGAGTCATTCCTTTTTGCCGCAATGAATAACATTATATTGTTATGCTATTCTGGGTATATATCGACGCAGCTTAAGCCTTTGCCTCATTTTATTTTAATACACTACTTGCTTTTACTCTTTGCATTTTGTTTCTCCATTAGAGTGGCATCCAAAGAAGTCTTTTAAAAAAGCTATTTTTCCTCCAGGCATCAGCATGGAATCAATAAATAGATTTACTTATAGCGCGCATATCTCAGTAAATTTGAATCTGCACTGAAATTTCATGATTTTAGCCCAGAAGCTTGGCAGCATATAAAAGACACAGCATAAAAGACACAGCCACGAGCTACATTCGTTTGTTTATTAATATACATATAATCTTTCAGTTTTCCAGAAGATGGAAATGCAGCTTCATAAAACCCAGAACGATGGGTAAATGGTTCCAAGAAAGGATTTATAGGAATTATTCTGGCCTAAAATCAGAAATACTGCTTCACGGAGTACATACAGCGAAGGGCCAATTGCAGAGATCAAAGGCAGTCGAAAGAATAACGTTCAACAGATAACCAAAATTTATTTCACATCCGCAATAAAACGTTATTACATTTGAAATGTAAATATGGAGCTGGCATTTCTTCTTATTTCCTTTTCGTTATATTTAAGATAGTTGGTCCATAAATAAAACACCAAGTGACAACTCTCAACAAGAATTTGTTTATCGGAATCCACAAGAGAAGGAAAATTAGGCATTTTTCTATCACTTCGCAGAAGGAATTCAAATGCCACGGCCCTCCTGCTTTTAAGCGGATAATTTGCCCCCAAAATGCGATGTGGTATTTTTCCAGTGGTTTCGTTTTATAGGGAACAGCTATTTGGAAAATGCGTTACATATAAATTAAGCCCTGGAGCAGAGAATGAAAAATATGCAGAAGAAGAAATAGTGTTAAGCCTGACGTTAATAAAAGAAGTCCGGAAGATATCAAGGCTGTATTAAAATGCAATTTTTACAGAGTTTTAAATCAATTTTTTCATCACAAGATATGGAGGGTTAATACATGTCTGAAGAAAATAGGACATATATTCTTTTTTAGATGCTTAAAATCCGAGGGGGATCATTTCAAGCCCACCCAGTCACTTGTAAACAGGAGTTTTAATTTTAAACCAGTTTACATATTTTGTTTTTGTTCTTTTTAGATGCAACCTCACTCATCAAAGGATTTTTAATCAGGTGCAAACGATGCTGGAATCTAACAGTTGCTATATTAAATAGCTCAACACCAGCTTGTTCAGAATCTGGTAGCAACCAACCGTAAATAAGCGTTGGCAGTTCAGAGCAAGCTTGCAAATATTTTGGAACTCCAAATAAAGCATCCAAAGACATCTTGGCAATAAACACCATCTTTCCATCATGGTTCACTGTGGAAGCTGCCCATTATTGAGCAGTTAGTATGCAAGGGAGTTCAATCTGTTAAGATTAAAAAGTTATTTATACTGCAGGAGATGTCGGTCTCCCCGTTAGTGAGGAAACTCATAAAGCCAACTGGAAAAGATTTATAGAACCTGCTTGGTTTGTGAAGAAAAAAAAAAGATTTCACGGGAAACTCTTCTTCTCCAGGTAGCCCTCAATTTATGACCAAAAGGGAAACCAAAAGTTCTGTTGATAAGCGAGACGGTTAAGTAATTTTTTTTGTTCCATTTTACAACTTTACTTGCCACAGTTGTTAACTGAATCACTGCGGTCGTTAAATTAGTAAGCCCAGTTATAAAATGAATCTGGTTCCCTTATTGTCTTTGCTGGTCAGAAAGTTGCTAAAGGAGATCCCATGACCTTGGGACAACACAACCGTCGTAAATACGAGCCAGTTTTCCAACCCTCCAAATTCCCATCGTGTGACCGTGTGATGCCACACTAGTTTTAAGTGTGAAAAATGGTCACTTTCTTCAGTACCGTTTAGTGGTGGGTTCCGGGTGGTAAGGCCTGGTACGGGCCTACCGGTGGTAGCTGGGATCAGCGGCCACCATACCAGAACAGTGGCTCGTATGGCCCACCTGCCCGCCCGCCCACGTTCCTTAACGCTTTTTGATGCGAACGGGCCAATTGCGCACACATGCACAGCTTGTGGTGCCTGTGCGACCTCCACCAAGCAGCTAGGTGTCGCAGGGTGGTGGCATGCACATGTGTGCACAGTTCACCGACAAATGCACGCCCGACAAATGCGCGCCGACAAAACCGCCTTGAAAAAACGGCGACGTTGAAAGCGCGCCCACTAAAGTGCATCGACAAATGCGCGCCGACAAAAGTGTGCCATTGAAAACAACACGAAAACAACGGTAACAACGGTAACAACCCTAACCCTTACCCTAACTCTAACCCTTACCCTAACCCTAACCTAAAAACCCTAATCCCGCTTTTGTGGGCGCGGTGTTGTCGGCGTATGCCCGATGAGGATGCCTGGCCCCGTCGCAGCATACCGGTTGTGACGGGATCTGGAACCTATCACTGGTACCATTGTAATTTCGAATGGTCACTAAATGAATGGTTGTAAATTGAGGATTACCTGAATATTCTAGATCTGGAATTCAGAGAAGACTGGGAAATTTAGCCCCGGGTTCAACCACTTCCAGAGATGTAGGCCCTAGAGAAAGGAGTTCAACGCAATTGTACTTGATCTATTTGCGGACGGGAGTTACCTAGCTTGGGATAAATCCAGATCTTGAGTCATCAACATTCGCAATCCTTCCTCGTTAAAGAAAAGGTTGTTTCCTCCAGACAGGATTCCACATTTCCTGGATGGTTTTCCGCCACTGACCAGTAAGAACCTGTCCGACTCCAGTTGACCTGAATGCAAACAGAGATTGACACTGCTTCAGGAATGGCCCTGAATCGTTTCTGCTAGGAATTGGAAATTGCATGGGATAGCTCTGTGTAAATGAATAAATGCTTGGCCGATTTCCTATAAAGTTTGATTTTGATTAGCCGGTCTGGATTAATGTTTATTTATTATTTACTAGATGATAACCTGGCGTGGCCCGGGTATTTATTTATAGGGGGAAATGTCTGTAACAAACGTAATTTCTAAGGTTGGATTTTCCCCCTTACCAGAGGGAGCCCCCTTTGTGGAGTACCGTGAAGCCGTTACCATGGCAACCCGACTGCACTGTACAGTAGAAGACATTTTATGGCAATACCGTAGAAGACATTTTAAGGCACAACAGGCTGTATCTTAACAGAACAAACAGGGGTGTCTTACCCCCACAGTATTTTTTTCCAGTGAGTAAGTCATCTGTGTACCAAGTTTGACTGAAATTGCCCCAGGCGTTCCAGAGTTATGCTGGAACGTACACACACACAGATACAGCCATTTTTATATATATAGAAGTGACAATTAAAAATGGAAATTGCTTTCTCAATCCCTCCCCTTTTACAGAGAGTCCTCAATTTACAACTACGATTGAGGCTAAAATTTGGATTGCTAAGCGGGACAGTTGTTAAGCGCGTTTTGCCCCATTTTACGACCTTTCTGGTCACCGTTGTTAAGCGAATTGCTGCAGGTGTTAAGTTCGTAACATGGTTGTAAAGTGAATCTGGCTCCCCCAGATTGATTTTGCTTGTCCGAAGGTCGCAAAAGCGGATCACATGATCACTGCAACCATCATAAGAACGGACCAGTTACCGAGCGTCCAAAGTTTGAATATGTAACCATGGGATGCTGCAACGGTGATAAGGGCAGAAAACAGTCATGGGTCACTTTTTAAAATGATACTGTGACTTTGAATCGTCATTAAATGAATGGTTGTAAGTCAAGGACTACCTGTAATTTTATTTTCTCAACACTAGGGAAAAGATTTTATTATTATTATTTTTTTAAAAAAATTATTTTCAAAACAGACACAGCACATAAAATCTTCCTGTCTTGCTGTGAGCTGCCCAGAGTCCCGATGGGAGTGGGCAGCATAGAAATTTTAATAAACCTTTAATAAACCAAACCTAAACCCCTCCCGCGAAAAGGTTCACCAACATTGAATTAGATCTTAGTACAATACCTTCAAAATCATCCTTGAGAAAATCGGGGTTCTTGGTGGTTATTCTACAGGTGGGTCCAGAATATCCAGGGTCACAGATGCACTTGCTCCCATTGATGCAACTGCCGTGCCCGCTGCACATCTCCTCACACTGTGGCCCTATGTAGACGTTGTCAATGGCCCAGGTCACCGGTTGAGACCCAGTTGGATAAAATCCTTGGTACCATCGGAATCTCACCAAGCTGAAAAAGACAGTCGCATTCACTCTTATTATCTATCATGCGTTATAGCAGGAGAGATGGCTAACTTTTTTGGAAAGGTGTGCCAAAATTGTGTGCATGCGTGCTATCGTGTGCCCACCCACCTGCGCTTGTGCGCATGACCCCCTCACCTGCGCAGGCGCGCATGACACCTTCCCCCGCGCAAGCAAACAATGGACCGGTTTGCCTGTTGGTCTTTTTTTCGCCCTCCCCAGGCTTCAAGAAAGCCTCTAGAGCTTAGGGAGGGCAAAAAAATGGCCCAACTAACCAGAAGTTCGGGAATGAACTTCCAGTTGAGCCATTGGGCCTGTTTTTCGCTCTCCCCAGGCTCTTTCCAGAAGCCTGGGGAGGGCAAAAAACTGCATCTCTGGGCCTTCCTGAAGGTCAAAAACCAGCTGGCCAGCACTCACGTGCATGCCGGAGATGAGGGTTGCCAGGCTGGCAAATATGGCTCCGTGTGCCATCTGTGGCATGCATGCCAAAGGTTCGGCATCACAGAGTTATAGGATGTGCTTTGAGGATTGTTCCATAGATAGCAGCAATGCTATCAGAACCATAAGCAATAACTTTTTATATAAGATATGTGTTATCAGGATTTAAAATAGAGGGAGGACTTAGAAAGAGGGAAAATATTGTTATGCATATTCCTATGTAATGTTTTAAAATAAATATGTAGAGGAAAGGATGAGAAGTTGAAAGATGATTGTATTAAACACCCTTAATTTGACATTATTAAGGCTACCATGGTTATTAGCATTGATAATATAATGGTTCCCCTCGCACATATGTGCTAGTTGTTCCCAACTCTAGGGGGCAGTGCTCATCTCCGTTTCAAAGCCGAAGAGCCAGCGCTATCCAAAGACGTCTCCGTGGTCATGTGGCTGGCATGACTCAATTCCGAAGGCGCATGGAACATGTTCCCTTCCCACCAAAGGTGGTCCCTATTTTTCTACTTGCATTTTTTACGTGCTTTCGAATTGCTAGATTGGCAGAAGCCGGGACAAGTCACGGGAGCTCACTCCATTAGGCAGCACTATTTATTTATCAGCACAAATACAACACAAATGTAACAAAGGCAACAGNAGCATCCAAAACGGCCTGAAAACGGCCCCAAAAATCCCCCCCCCCCAAATGTGCATGCCAGCCCACAGGCCTTGAGGTTTCCGGTGCTGCTCCAGCCCCTTGCACATGCACACATATTCAAAACGTTCTTCTTTTGGCACTTGGTGCCCAAAAGATTCACCATCCCTGGTATAGTGCAATATCAGGCTTTCCATTTCAATTATATAGAAAGTAAATGCTTGTGTTTTTGTTTTTATAGTTATAATGTAGACTGAAGACGGCATTTAATTTCGTTGTACCATGTGTGCAACGGCAATAAAGTAAACTAAAAGCTGGGAACAGCTCCATGCAGAGACTGCAAGTCATAAAGCTTCTCTCTCCCTTGAAATATTTTAGGATCTGGCGCCAGCACAGCACACTACGGCCCCAGCTTAATTTGATGCATCTCCAATCTCTCCAGGACCTCCAAGTATCAGAAGAGATTTTCTACATGCAGTGAGTTCTGCTCGACTTACCCAGCTCGTTCATCCTGTTGATTTCTTCAGGGGGCGTACTGACTTCCGTGCTCTGGCCTTGTCCCTCGACGATCCTCAGTTCTTCCAAGGACAGTCCGGAACGAATCACGGACACGGATGAAAAGTTGCTCTGGGGAACCACAAAAAACGGGAGATGCCTAGTGAAGATGGCCTCCGGCTTTCTTCCCGTATGAATCTGTTCTAATCTGGGCTTCCCCAGCAGCATGAAGCCGAGTCCTCATCCCGATAAACCCCTTTTATTTTATTTACAGTGGATCTCCAGCCAAGGTCTTTCCTCTCCTGCAGTCTTTCAAGTTAGTTCACAATCACCGACCTTTATCAGGCTTGGAGAGCGGCCAGGCCGATATCTTTCAGACGCCACAATACTTGGAAGGAACAAATTGTCTCCTGCAAACTCTACTCCCCTTTCGCTCCTCTTTTATTCCCTGGTCCCCTCTCTGCCTCCGACACAGAGCTCTCATCAGAGCCTTCCCCAGACTCCAGGACTGGCCCATCTTCCTCCCCAACCTCCTCACTGTCCGAATCTGCTGCCAACTCTGCTGGCCACTAGTGGGCCATAACACAATCCTTCTTTGCTCCTTGAATGCCAAGACTATAGAGATGCACTTAAGTTAAGACATTACCTTGTCGAAATACTCGTTATCAAATGAGATCTTGGCTGTGCCAGACTGCCGAACGCCCGAGCCATAATCGGGGGCCTCTTCATCGGCTATCGAAAAAAAAAGAAAAAGATCCGATGGAGGAGGAGATTTGTAGCATAGGGCTGAACTGTGGGGTCCTTGATGCTCTCTGAGCTTGGTGGTTTTCTCTGCAGATGTTTCATTACCAAACTAGGTAACATATCAGTGCAGAGCACGTCATCATAACGTCACCTGCTTTAGTAATAAAATGTCTGCAAGAATACCACCAAGCTCAGAGAACACCAAGGAGCCCTCGAAGGGAAAGAGGCAAAATGCAGTAGTTAGAGCAGGGGTCGGCAACCTGCGGCTCTGGAGCTGCATGTGGCTCTTTCATCCCTCTGCTGCGGCTCCCTGTAGCTGGTCAACTCCACAATTGATAGGACTTTTGGCTAGGACAGGTAGAGGAAAAAGGACGCCGCGCTAGGAGGAGACTCTATGGTGGGGGAACCAGACTTCTGGTCAGCAGAAGAAAAAGAACGCCACACTAGGAGAAGACTCTATGGTGGGGGAAGTGGACTTCCAGTCGGCTGCAGAATTGAGTGGGGGGCTTCTGGTTAGGATCTTTGTGGCTCTTTGTGTGTTTAAGGTTGCCGACCCCTGAGTCAGAGAAAATAGCTTTCAAACGCCCTGACTTCCATGTTTAAAAGATTACAATTCTGTTACTGGCCCAAACCATGAACAAACCAACAATGCCATGAACCAACCACCAGTTACCTTCCACTTCGCGGCAGAGCCTGGCTACAACTTACCAGCTATAGCTTGGACTGCCACACGCAGAAATCCACGCACTTCTCCCTTCTCGCTGACAACAGCCACTCTGTGGATGAGGGGCACTGGATAGAGAAGATTGCTTAAATATACAAATGCCCTGAAGGGAAAAAAAGGATGGAAACCAAACCTTAGACTGTCATTTGTAAAACAAGAGTTACATTTGAATAATTTGAGTAGTGATGTCATTGGGTTGAGGACAAACATAGTAACATCTGTTAGGAAGTTTGAAATGAAACACAGCTAAAGGTAAAGGTTCCCCTCACACATATGTGCTAGTCGTTCCTGACTCTAGGGGGCGGTGCTCATCTCCATTTCAAAACTGAAGCGCCAACGCTGTCCAAAGACTTCTCTATGGTCATGTGGGTGGCGTGACTAAACATCGAAGGTGCATGGAACGCTGTGACCTTCCCACCAAAGGTAGTCCCTATTTTTCTACTTGCATTTTTAATGTGCTTTCGAACTGCTAGGTTGGCAGAATCTGGGACAAGTCACGGGAGCTCACTCTGTTACACGGTGCTAGGGATTCGAACCGCCGAACTGCCGACCTTTCTGATCAACAAGCTCAGCGTCTTAGTCACTGAGACACCGTGTCCCTTTGAAACACAGGTAGACTCATCCTAATCTTTTAACAAATCACTGACGATTTTAATCCATCTCACAGAGAACTCTCACTTGATTACATGACATGAAAACTTAAAAGAAAAACTTATGAAGGCAATTACTGAACACATGTCAAATTTTAACTCTTCTTCACTATGCATTTTGAAGACTGGAATATTTTTTTAATATTTTAACCACTTACTGTCGCTTTCTTGGCAATGTCAAGATTGCTGCTTACATTTAGAAGCCATAACAATGTTTTTAAAGGCCTTGTATTTTGCATTGAGAGGCAGAAACACTTTATGACTGTACCGTTTACATTTAAAACTTAACACAGCAATTTAAATGTTGCATTTTTGTTCAATTAGCATATTTTTTGGAGTATAAGAC